AGAAAGTTAATAGGTCTAAATCAAAGTACATATATAGATAAAATCCTTGATCGATTTAGCATGTCTAACTCAAAGAAAGGATCTTTACCTATGACACCTGGCACGGTTCTTTCCAAGAGCCAGAGTCCTTCTACTCCCGAGCAAAAGGAACTCATGATGAAGGTTCCATACGCCTCTGCGATTGGATCCATCATGTACGCCATGATATGTACTAGACCTGATGTCTCATTCGCTTTAAGCGTGACCAGCAGATACCAGGGAAGTCCAGGAGAAGCACACTGGACAGCGGTCAAGAACATCCTCAAGTATCTTCGCAATACTAAGGATGCATTCCTGGTATACGGTGGTGAGGAAGAGCTAAAGGTGGTCGGTTACACTGATGCTAGCTTCCAAACCGACAGAGACGATTCAAAATCACAAGCAGGATATTTGTTTTGCCTGAATGGTGGAGCTTTTAGTTGGAAGAGCTTTAATGAGGATACAACCGCCGATTCGACTATAGAGGCTGAGTACATAGCTGCCGCCGAGGCAGCTAAAGAAGCTGTTTGGATCAAGAAGTTTATTACTGAACTTGGAGTGGTTCCTAGTATTAATGACCCTATCTCGTTGTTTTGCGACAACACGGGCCATTGCACAGGCAAAGGAACCGCGATCTCACCAGAAAACCAAACACATTGTACGACGCTATCACATCATACGAGAAATCGTAGATAGAGGAGATGTGATGATTTGCAAAGTAGATACTGACGACAATATAGCCGATCCCCTGACCAAGCCTTTAGGAAAGCTAAAGCATGAGGGTCACACTAGGTCCATGGGCATTAAACTGATGCCAGATTGGCCATAGTGCAAGTGGGAGATTGTTGGAGTTGTGCCCTGATGGCCAACTGTTTATCATTATTCTATCATGTATAGGCAGATATAATATGTTTACACATCTCACGCTAATGTAAACAAATATTATATTCCTAGATTTATATTTAAAAGATGTTTATCAGATAGTGTTTTTCTGCTGATGAGACTAACATCTTGAAATAAATATTTATCTAAATGTCCATAGTCGAGTATTAACGAGAGTGGGATATCGTTAATGCATGTGAGACTAGTGTGTGTTGGATGTTTGACTTAGTCTCATAGTCAATGACGGTGTGTTCGCATCCGCACATGGGCAGATATTATCTAGAGATAATAGGATGCCGGACTGACCCATNAGTTACACGGAGTCTGAGTCGTGGAAAGGTTTTGACGGTGCAAACGTCTTAACTTATAATCTGGGGGCAATAATGTGTTGCTAGATACCGCTTATTGCTTATAGTATTGGTGCAGAGCCAATACTATGACCAGTTTTATAAGTGTCTATACGGGTCACACACTTTGGACAATTTAAGGAGTAGGATTAAACAATGGGATAATAAGTAATTTGTATATTTGTAGAAAATAGTAAAATAAAATATTTTGGAATATAATATTATATATATAAATATTCGGTTATACATATTATATATATGTACCGATTAATGTATATATATTATATGTTGAATATTTTATTTTGGTTTGTCATTTTAATTATGAAAATAATTATTTTGACATAAACTATTTAAAGTATATTTGTATACTTGTTTAAAAATGATATTGGTATTTTATTTGATTTAAAATTAATTTTTATATTAATTTTTGGTGTCAAATAAAATACACTTTGAACATTTAAGTGGAGAAGAATTTTACAAATCCTTCTCACATGATTTTTCGGCCAAATGACATCTTAAAGGAATCAAATTTTGTTTGATTGATAAATTAGTGGACTAATTAATTTTGTCATTTAGCTAATGACCAAATAATGGAGCATCTTTGTTTTATTTAAACAATTCACTCCATTTTGCTAAGAGAGCTTTTTGATTATTCGGCCATACCATTTTAAGAGAGAGAAATATATTATTTTGGTTCCATTAATATCATTTTGTGTATAGAAAATATCTATAATATTTTCTAAATATTATTAGAAATATTTTCTATAGAAATATACAAGATTATTATTATCCCAATTTTAATCTTTATATTTTATACTACTATAATCTTTACTAGCATAAAGATTGTGGTAGACTCCGGTGTTCGTGTGTCAAAGTTGGAGACCGGACGCTTGAACGGTTACGTTTGCACTTTCAACGCTCTTCCTACGACTTCTTCGTTTTTACCGCTTACGGAGAAAGGTATAAATTTCTTACTCACTATAAGTTTTAGTACGTGATTCTGGGCAAGATAATCATGTTAGGATGTTAAAATTTTTAATTTCCGCTGTCTATCCTTGCATGGTTACCTTTCAGTCAAGTACTGTAATATTCTGCCAGATGCCATGAGAACAATGTCATCAACATAGAGCAGAAGGTATGCACGTCCGAGCCCTGATGATACATGAAGAAAGAAGTATCGGACTTGCACTGTGAAACCCCAAAGATTGAATGAAGGTGGCAAACTGGAGATACCAAGAGCGTGGGGCCTGCTTTAGCCCATAGAGGGCTTTATCCAGTTTGCAGACAAAGTGCGTACGGGCTGGATCCTGGAATCCGGAGGGCTGGCTGGCATAAACAGTCTCCCAAAGTGTGCCATGTAAGAAGGCATTCTTCACATCTAGCTGATGAATAGGCCTTCTGCGGCTTAAAGCAAGACTAAGTACAATTCGGATGTTGGTGTTCAGGCATTTTAGCCATGATAAGCATCAAATTGAGATGGGGGATGCCTTCACTTGAGAAGGAACTTCTAATCATTTTGTTTGAACTCTAAATTATTTGGTATTTTGATTAATGTGCTTGGTCATTTGGGACATGATGATGTTTAAAATTTTTTGCTATGTTTACTTTTTTGTTGTTGTTTTGAATGATTTTTTTCTCTGTTTTGAAAGATGCATTGATCACTTCATCTCTAAATAGAAAATTTTCAATTTCTAAATACGTCTCTTAACCCGTTGGGTCAACCCAAACCCAATAACTTTGGGTCATGAACAAGCATTCTTAGACCCGAACCAGAAGTGACCCGAACCTATTAATACCGAACTTGAACCCGACCTGACCAACCGTTTTTCCAGGTCTAGACAGGGCCAACATTTCTGTCTTTGGAAACATTCTCATTTGATGGGATTCATTAAATGGTCCAGAATGGGTTAGATCTTTGGAACTTTGAAGAAAATACTTCTGATCAGAGCCTGAGTCGAACCGAGTATTCGAATGAACCAAATATTATATTATGAGAATATTTTTGGCCTAAGTTCGGCCCGACTAACATTGCAGGCCTAACAATGTAGCCCAAGCACAACCCGTATGAGTACCCACGGGTTTTGGGCGCCAGCCCAACTTGCTTGGACAGTATTTTACATAATTAAAAAATTAATAAATAAAGTAATGCCTTAGTATATTAGATATTTGACATAATAGGATAAATAGCTATAATAAATATACTATTAAAATAAAAACTAATATATGCAATGTGTTATGTTTAATAAAATTATTACTCTTATTTATTTGAACATCATTATCATTTGTGATAAATAATTACAAAAAATTCATATTTTTAAATATACTAATATTTCTCTCTTTTATCCACAGAAATATGTAGGTTTTGTATGTGTATAATAATAATAATAATAATAATAATAATAATAATAAATAGTATTGATGTTATTATTATTATTATTATTAATGTTGTGGTTTTATTATTGTATTACTCTGTATTATTATTATTATTATTATTCATTCAGATCGTGTTGGCTGGAGCACTTGAACATTAAGTTTGAGCCCAGTCCTTAAGTAAGCAAGACCCTTTCTATAAAGCTCGAGCCAGGCTCATACTCTAAAATATTAAGCTCGGGCCTGTGGGCCAAATACTCGTATCCGTGACCGGGTCTAGAATAGATCGAGTATTCTAGGAGCCACTAGCCTTCCCCCCTTTCTCGGGTCGATTTTGATCTCGTGATATTTTTGTCCCATTAAAAGGTTATAAATATTCTTTTACATTCATTCTTGAAAAGAAGTTTAACTGTGTTGAAAAAAAAGTTTTCCTTTCACATATATACCTCACATAATTTGTTTTTTTCCGAACTCACTTTTGATTTTTTAAAATTCTTATCTCATTTATATTAAGTATAAAATTTTACTTTTCCTAATAATTGTTTCGACTTCATTGTGAAATCTATTATTTATTACTTTTTTAAAAAATCACCAAAAGTACTACTCCATCTGTCCCATAATTATCATGTCAAGTCAAATTCGGAAGATAATTCCGGGGCGGAGGAAGTAGTGATTTTATTTTTGGACACGTAATTCTATTTATTAAAAATTATCAAAAATAGGTTGTACTTACCTCAAAATAAGAGTTAATTCTATTTACATATTGGGATATCAATATGGGAGAAAGACCAAACTAGGATTAAAACATTGAAAATACATCAAAATATGACTTCCATGTTTTTATTCCCGAAATAGGGCTTACATTACCAAACATGGTCATGTACATTACCAAAAAAGTATAGTAATTTGCACATGTACACTGCCACATTACCACAATGCAAAGTCACATTACCACAGTGCAAAGTCTTATTCCGAAAAAAAAACATGAAAGTCCTATTTTGATACTTTTCTCTATGTTTTAGTTCTATTTGGGATGATTTCTATATCAATATATCACGATCTATCCTTTAGAGAAAGATATGAGTTTCAATTTTCAGCAAAAAGGGAGATTGAGTCATGATATCTCTCGAAGTTTTAACCACCTTTCGAGTAATATCAGTTCAAATTTTTTTTGTCAACGGCTCATTTAATTTGATTTCATTTTATATTTTCACCAAACAATCATATCCTTGATATCAAAACTCATCCCACTCTTAAATGTAAAAAAAAAAAAGCATTCCATTCTACAGTGTTTTGCTTACCAAACGAACCCTTGGTTCGATGATGAAACACAAGAATAAAGGACATTATATATGGAGGACAAGTTAATAATGCACCAAAAAGTTGCTTGAATTGGTTGGGGTTTTCAAAGATGTCCCCTTCAATAGAAAGATTCACTTTCACATGTTGGTTGTTATTACTCCATCAATCATCCTAATTCGGTAATATTCCTAATCCATCAGCAGTTTAAATTTCGCTTCACATTAAAACGCTCCATCTATCTATCATGGGAAATTCACAAACAATGAATTCTACTCCCAAGTACCTTTGTGAATTCAACCCTTGAAACACTTTCTTGTTCAAACTTTTATTTACCATTTCAGTAAGATGACCGAAGTTATTAAGCCAACCAAAAGTTGCGACAATCAATCAATTTCTCAGAATCTATAAACAAGAAACATGACTAAATATGCATTACTGACATTTAATGATGTTTTCAAGCACTATTAGGCCATACAACACATCTTAAACACAAAGGTTCCCCAAGAACGACATCTTAAACAGACTCCAAATTTTAACAACTTGATATAATAAAACACACAAAAAGGAAAGGAAGATGGACCACCCCAGGGGGGCCACCAACAATGGGTAATCAAATCCCATAACAACAGACACATTACACAGACAATATATATATATATATATATATATATATATATATATATATATATATATATATAGATATATATATATATATAGATATATATTTCACTAGCAAGAAAGATGATGGGGACAGGAACCCAAGACGGCGGGCGGGCGGGCGGTACGAGAATGGATGATCACAGCATGCGGTCGGTCCTGGCGGGTAGCCTCCGGAAGAAGTTGAGGGGCACGGAGGGAAGCTTGTGGCGGAACCTGGGATGTCTCAAGACATAGAACCCGGTGAGGACGGCGATGACTTGAAAGGGAGTGATGTAGAGAACAATGGCAGCAACCAGACAGAATATCACAAACAGGGCAGTCGCCCTGGGGTCCCTCCAGCTCAGCAGAGCCTGCACCCTCTCCCCTTGGGTGGCCAAATCTCCCACCAGCGTCTGAAGCCTCCCGGCGATGCTCCTCAGCCGGTCATACCTCATCCTCACGATGTCCGGGTTACGGGAGGTCGGGAAGGTGTCAAACTCCTCGTCCAGCTCGTCCGGGTGCGCGTTCTCGGCGCAAGACAGCCTGGTGTCCATGTGGGGAGGGTGGCGCGGCCTCCACCTGTAGTGCCACACCCCGATGAGGAAGAGGTAGAGGAAGATGGTGGGGAGGATGAGCTCCGGGTAGAGGACGAGGATCAAGAAGAGGACGTGGATGAGGACGGTGGTGATGGGGTTCCTCCAGTTGCATATCTGGTCGAACCACCTCCCGATCGCGATCAACCCTCCCAAAACCCCCATGATCCTGAAGAAGTTGGCCTTGCTCCTCCTCATGCTCCACATGTGGGATCCGACATCGAGCATGTACTCCACCACCTCCTTCCTCAGGGGAGGCTCTGCACGGGCCAGCCTGGTCGACACGATCTGGGTCGCCTGGTGCCTCAAGCTGTCCAGCTGGGCGACGGTCAGGGGATGGATGTAGTGCATTTTCGGGAGAAGGGGTTGGGAGTACATGTGCATCATGTTGAGCAACGAGGAGCAGGTGAACCGGACCGCCAGCTGGATCTCCCCCATCTTCTTCACCCCGTTTGGGTGCAAAACCAGCAGAGGGTACGAATGGGTGTATACCCGGTCCGTTTCCAGGGTGGAGAGCCGGATCCTGACCTTCCCGATCCTCATATCCCTCGACCCGCCGCCTCCATAGCCGTGGAGGTTACAGTTATCGAACACCCCAATGGTTATAACAGTACAAGGATCAAACACCTCCCAGGTGTACTGCTCATTCCACCTCGGGGAAAAGCTGTCGATTATGGTCCTGGTACGGACCCACTTCTGCCCGTATTTGGCGACACAGTAGGCGTCGGTCTCTGCCCGTCCGTCTTTGGACTTCATCGGGGAGAGTCCATGGGCACTCAGAATACCCAGTTCAAGAACGCCGATGTTCGGCTTCCACAGCTGCTTTGCAGTTGGCCTGAGATCACTGCTGTAGTGGGTGGATTCGTCGAGGACATGATAACCGCCCTCAAGCCATATCCTCATGTGAATCTTGCTTGCGAATTTCACTTCCTTCTTATCCCCCTCCACCATGTGTTTATCAAGATTATACCACTTCGAGTTCATCGGCCTATGATCAAACCTCCTGTCCACATAGTGCAGGGGAATGGCACACCTTCCAAGTACCTCAATCTTGTCCGAGCCCACCCTGTCCTCCACGCTCAATATCAGAGGCTCCTCGAATGGTTCGGCAACCACAAACATCAAATCCTCATTCCACATTGGGTTAAGGGTTTTGGCGGCCGAAACTCGGGTCTTCAAACCCTGGTTTCCAGAAATGGCCTTGACATACACCTCGGGGTACCTGCTCTTATCGTTTGGCACCAAATCTTGGGCCTCGATCACATTCACCCTCAAGTACCAAAGCTTGGGGGAGAGGTAGACCTTGGACCTTATGCTGGAAATGCCGTCGGACCCACTAACGGATGCGGCGTCCGAATGCCAGGCCTCGGGGAAGGCCTCGTCGGCCTGAGTGCCCAACCAAACAGCCAACATGAGCTCCCCTCTAATCTTCTCCCCCTTCCTGTCCTCCAACCTGTACCACTGAGGCGCCAACGGGCTGTCGGGAGGGACCCGCTTGGGGATCTCGTTCAGATCGAAAAAAACCCTCCCGACGAAATCGTCCTTCAACAGATCCTTGTCCTTCACCTGAACCTCGAGAACCGAAGCCTGCATCCGGTCCTTGGAAAAGGCAAACACTTGGTTCCATTCCGGGTTGGTTTTCTTCTCAAAGTGGCCAGTCGTGCCCTTGTAGTTCCCCAGCCGGATCTCGACATAAGGGTCGAGACTCCCGGTGACGTCCTTGGCAGGCAAATCTTTAGCCTTCACAACCCGGACATAGAGGTATTGCATCTGCTCGACGAGGTCATAGGTGCTGGTGAGCTTATCGCCGGTCACCTTCCCACCGCCGAGGTGGGGTTTGGTTTCCTTAAGAGAAAAGTCTTCTTGCGGTGGTTTCTGCATCTTCTTCAAACCCTTATCTTCCCACTCAGCTGGCAAATCAAGAAATCGGTAATTGAAGCCAAAAGAAGAAAATCAATAACTTAACAAATCTTTTCAGAAATCTCAGGATGAATGAAGGGCAAGGCAAATATCTGAGAACCCAATGTTTTAGTCAGACAAATTAATTGAATTCAAGAACCGATAAATGCTTAACACTAAAAATAAATAAACAAAAAAAAAGGTAAAAAGACGAGATATTTATAATATATAAAAAAAGAAAAGAAAAAAGTCAAAGAAATGTCAAAGAAATGTCAAAGAAAACCCCAATGAAAATATTAGATCTGGACCCTTCTTCAAGCATGAAAGGCGAAACGCCATTATTATTATTAACAAAAGAAAGCTTAATGGCTCTCCATCAAATAAATAAATAAACAAATGTAAAGTATTTAATGCCCAACAAAGAAGCAGAAAATCAATCTGTATCTACACACGACACGAACAGACTAATTAAAAAAAACAAAACCAGAAATATAAAGTAGTCGAAATTCTTGAAGGTGGGGTGTAAAAACGAATATACCTGGAAGATTGAAGGTACAGAGGGGAGCTAATCAAAGAGACTTGGGGGGTTCTGAATATAAATTGAATCTTAATCCACCCAGAAAAAGCAGAAGGGGAAGTGATGAGTGAGGGTGAAGAGAGAGAGGGGGGAGGAAAAGGGGAGGCCTTTAAAAGGGGTACTGTTTTCTAGAGAGAGAAACACATTTTCGGTGAATTCGGTCTCTCTTTCTTCTTTGGTGCGGTGGGTCGGTTTGCGTGTGTGGTTTTCTTTCTCGTTTTCAGGCGTTTTGGTAATTACAGGTAAATTACAGCGACTCCTTTGCTAATTCTCGTTTAGTGTTTAAATGAAGAATAAATTACAGCGACTTAAGATCTGCATCGTGTATTTAGTTCTTGTAATCTCGTCACTCGTACTTATGGTACTATATACTACACGTGCTCTACACTATAGGCTAGTACTATATACTAACGCTCTCTGTCTGAAAAAGAATCGCTTATTCTTGTTTATAAGATTTGACATAATTTATTTTTAATTCAGTTTATAAAAAAATTAGTTGGAAATTACTCTCTCCGTTCCTAAATAAAGTTCCATTTTTGACTTTTTGAGAATTTAAAGGAGGGATATTTTTGTGTTGGCTTTCCAAAAATACCTTGATGTGATGTGTAAAAGTAAGATGTGATAGGTAGATTATTAGTAAAAAGGTATGATGTGATATGTAGGGTATGAAAAAGTAAAGGGTAAAAAGGGTTTTTTAAGGGAAAAGAGAAATTTATTTAGGGACAAAGAAAAATCGAAAGAGGAACTTTATTTAGGGACGGAGGGAGTATAAAACTAAATTTATACAGAGTGCACTTTTTAAAAAATCAAAAGTGGAAAACAAGAGGCGACAAGAGTATATTATTTTCTTAAATGGGTCATGAAAATAGGTCAAGAACATCGTTAAAATTGGCTAAAATCCACCATTGGTTTTTCAACTTTATGAGTTGTGCACGATTGGTCCTTCAAGTTTCAAAAGTCTATGAGTAGTCCTTCAAATTTATAAGTTGTGCACGATTGGTATTTCAAATTTTAAAAGTTCATAAGTAGTCCTTCAAGTATACGTCAGCCTCCAGATGAAATCCTTTTGACAATAAACATTAAAAACTAAATGGAATACTATTCCATAAAATACGAGCAAATTCCACTAGATACGATTACTCGTATTATATGAAGCTAGTACTCCATTTAGCTTTTAACGTTTACCGTAAAAAAGGTCTCTTCTGCAGGACTGACGTGTACTTGAAAGACTACTTATGGATTTTTGAAACTTGAATGACCACTCGTGTACAACTCATAAAGTTGAAAGACTATTTATGAACTTTTGAAACATGAAGGACTAATCGTGCACAACTCATAAAGTCGAAGACTGATAGTAAATCAGAGTTTAGCTCGTTAAAATTTGATCATGTAAAATAATAAATAGACAATTTAAATTAGAATGGAAGGAGTATAAAATAAGATGGGGCATAAGTACTTAGATTATAGATGAAAATATATTATAAAAAAAGATGGTGTATGATTGTATGATGATATTAATAGGAGCTGTATTTTTTATTCTTGGATGGTGAGAATAATTATAATCTTAGCAGTCATATACTTTGTGCATAATTTTTGGGTCTATAATCACATGTTTGTGTTCTAGTTGAGTTGGTATTTTAACTTCATATCAAAGCACGTTTAATCCAAAGTTCACGAGTTCAGATTTTAAATATTTATCACCGCCACCACTACTTTTAAAAATTTTAATATTTACGTATAAGGTTCAAGCAAATACAAATCTCGCTTTCATGCAAAAGACGTGTTAAAGTATAAATTTTTCGTGTACGTACAATCACAAAGTTGAATTTTTAGTTGAATTAGTTCTTTGACTTACAATTGTGCTACTTAATACATAGTAGTTTTTAATTAAAGAAATCTTTTAGATAGGAATAAAAAAGTATTAAAATATCAAAATAGAAGTCCTAAGTTTTTTAAGACTAAAATAGAAGTATAATGATATAAGAGTACACATTGACAGTTTAATGAAAAGGTGATGACGGTGTGATCAGTAAATCGTCAACGATTCACGGCGATACACTAATGGGTGGCGGTGATGAATGACAGTGTAACAATGATAGTGTAACAATTGTGATGCGACAATTTGATGAGTGTAGCAATCTAAGAATAACAACGTGAACTCTTATTTTATTCTTAAAATATTTAAAAAATTTATTTTAGTATTTTCATAATTTTTTACGGTTTTTGCCAGGTAGACTTATCACTGACAATATCTTGTTGGCTGCGGAAGTGGGTCATTTTCTTCGTAGAAAGCGATTGGGAAGTATGGGATGGGTGGGCCCGAAGCTTGATATGGCTAAGGCCTATGATAGGATGGAATGGGGTTTCCTACGGAATATGTTGCAGTGTCTGGGCTTTAGTGACCAATGGATTAGCCTCGTTAATTTGTGTGTGACCATGGTTCGTTATCGTATTCTGGTGAATGGTGTTCTCTCTGACCCGATCTCACCAACCCGAGGTTTACGTCAGGGTGACCCGCTAAGTCCATATTTATTCATTTTGTGTGCAGAAGGCTTGTCTCTACTCTTGCAGATTGCAGAACGCACTGGTCGTTTACCCGGGATTCGAGTTGGAAGGGGAGCACCTTCTGTTTCCCACTTACTGTTTGCTGATGATAGCCTCTTATTCTTCCGTGCAACTTTTGAAGAAGCAACGGTGGCGAAGGAGTGCCTTGGGGAATATTCAAGAATTTCAGGGCAAGTTGTCAACTATAACAAGTCTACTATCTCCTTTAGTAGTAATACTCTGACACAGACACGGGACATGTTGGCACAGTTCTTTGGGGTTACACAAGCTGCCAACTTTGGTAAGTACCTGGGGCTGCCTTCTTTTATTGGGAAAAATAAGGTGGGAGTATTTAAATATATTCTTGAGAAAATCTATCATCGCATAGGAGGGTGGAGCAAGCGTCTGTTATCAAAAGCAGGTAAAGAGATCTTGTTGAAGACCATAGCGCAGGCGATGCCTGAGTATGCTATGAGTGTATTCTTGCTCCCACACTCGATTTATCGAAAGATTGAGAATCTTATAAATAGCTTTTGGTGGCAGAGTAAATGCTAAACTCATCCGGTATTCATTGGCTATCATGGAAACGCCTTTCCCTCCCTAAGAAGTTTGGTGGGATGGGGTTTAGACAAATACATGCTTTTAATATAGCAATGCTAGGGAAACAGGGATGGAGGTTCCTCACCCGACCGGAGTCCTTGGTTTCTAGAGTCTTTAAAGCCAGGTATTTTCCCAAACCATCTTTTCTGGAGGCGAAGCTTGGAGGTTCACCTAGTTACTGTTGGCGGAGTATTTTGGAGACCCAAGATTTGTTGCTTAAGGGTTTGCGTCGGCGAGTTGGGAATGGAGCTCATACTCTTATTTGGGACTCCCCTTGGGTCATGGATGATAACTCTCCTATGATGTCCACACCTCGTCCACCCTACTTTCCAAATATGCCGGTATCTTTTCTTTTAGACCGAGATAGAGGTGGTTGGGATGAAGAATTACTTCAGACTCTCTTTGTGGGAAGGGACGTCAATTTGATTCGGAAAACTCCTATTGCTTTGTACAGACCAGATGGATGGTTTTGGAGCGGGGATACAAAGGGCATGTACTCTGTCAAAGGAGCGTATAGGCGGCTTATTGGTGAGGCGACCGCAGTCTCTGGTTGCTCTGGCTGGAGCTGGCTGTGGCGTATTCCAGTTTTATCTAAAGCTAAAATTTGCCTTTGGCGTGCACTCCGAGGTCTTCTACCTACTATTCCGGCTCTCATCTCGAAAGGTATTTCTCTTGTCAATGTATGTGCTAGTTGTGGTAATGGCCAGAGTCCTTGGAACATATTTTTCTTGAGTGTCCTCTTGCTAAAATGGTGTGGCAGATTGTTTTTGGAGAAAGCAATTGGGGGATGACATTTTCTTTTGCCCACTCGTTCCAGCAGCTTTTTAATTCTCTCTCTAATAGGGAATTACGTTTGGTGGCGGGTTCAATTTGGGCTTTGTGGAAAGCTCGCAAAATGGCGACTTGGGAGTGGAGGGTCCCGTCACCGCGGGTCATCGCGAGCTGGGTTCAGGCAGTTTGCTATGAAGGACAAGGTATGACGGTGGGGGGGATGCCTCAACAGCCCCGACTTGAGGAGGAACCCCGACCAAATACTTTTCGTTGTTTTGTTGATGCCGCTCTTTTTGTTCAATCGGGTGGTGTGGCGTTTGGTTGTGTAGCTTTTGATCCTGCTAGAAAGTTTTATGGTGCCTCTAATGGTATGTTGAGATGTCCCTCGGATCCTTTATTGGCGGAAGTAATGGCCGTCTGAGAGGCCCTGTCGTGGTTGAAGGCTAGAGGAGTAGTGGATGTGGACCTCTTCTCGGATTGTCAAAGGGTGGTTCACGCCCTTAAGGACAGCTCTTTTACCTCTCTATCTTACTTTGGCTCGCTTATCAAGGATTGTCAGTTGTTAGGCTTGGATTTTAATATTGTTAATTTTCTGTTTATTTCCCGTTCAAAAAATATTATTGCTCATTCTTTGGCTAGGAAGGCGGAGGTTTCATGTGGTGTATGGATTTCCTCCCACCGGACTTTATTTTGCCTAATCTCATGAATTAATATTAAGTGTTAGAATATAAATAACTGTTCCTGGACCACAACCACAAGCTTGAGCTTTTGGTTGAGTTGGTTCCTTGACATGGTATCGAAGCCACCGCTCTTGGTGACCTAAAAGAGTTCTTTGCTCCCACCGCCGCCGCCGGTAATTCCGGCGACGACGGCTCCACCCTATTCACCTCTATTTTCTTTTTCTTCTTTATCCTCAAATCAATTTCTCCATTCAAATGGAAAAAGAAAAAGAAAAAAAACCCCTGTTGAAATCACACAAAAAAACTATCAAAGGAGGAACTTCTCTCTTGTTATCTCCATGGTTTTTCAAAAAAAAAAACCAACTCCTCACAAACTCTCTCAGATCATCCTATCTTCTCAAAAAAAGAAAAAAAAAGATTGTTGTTTCTCTTCAATTCACCATATCAAAATCTCAGACCCATTTTTTTTTTCCATCACCAATTCTTAACCTACTTTTTCTCTCTAAAATCACTCATTCTAATCATCAACCTTCCTTCTCTTTCTCTTCTGTTGAACGAATAAAAATCCAAAGTAAATCAACACAAAAGCAAAGCCAAGAGGAGAAGTAGTGAAAAAGGAAATAAGACCTCTATAACTCACCCCTTCAAGAAGGAAATAGGGCATTGCCCTGATCCAAGAAAAAGACAAAAAATGTCAAGGATCTTTAGTCAAACAGGCACCTCCAGTAGCCTTCTCTATTCTTCTTCGACGTCAGCAGCTACAAGCGCACGTCAACCTTCTCTCATCTTCATCGACGTTAGCAGCTACTAGCGCACGTCAATTTCTCTCTTCTCCAACGATGTTAGCAGCTACCAGTGCACGTCAGAATTCTCTCTTCTCTAACGACGTCAGCAGCCACCGGCGCATGTCAGCCTTCTTTCTTCTCAAAGTTTCCAGAGTTCAGCTTGAGGGGAATGTTAGACAATAATACTAATAGTACTTCTTGTAGTATTGGTTATGATAGTGTTTCATTATTAGTCAGCTTCCTAATCCTATCTGTGGTAGATGTTGTATGTTAGTTAGTTTCCATTCTCTATTCCTAGTTGTGTTAGGAGTGTCTCCTATATATATACTATATCATGTACTTCATAATTCAAGGAGCAATATTATTATTCCAATATTTCAATATGTTAGACAATAATACTAATAGTACTTCTTGTAGTATTGGTTATGATAGTGTTTCATTATTCAAGTAAATGTCCGTCATTACATGACATTATTCTTCCCACTAAGTCCTACATTAGGAAAGTTATTATGTTTTAGTCCTATTTAGTACATTTCCGAGTGTTGAGTGCAACCACCAGCACCTATTCCCAGCTTCCCCCCTGCGACGTCGTATACCACTTCAAAAGTCTGCTGCTGAGTGTTTCCCAAAATACCCATGTCGCCGGCGTCTCCGTTGCCGGCGAAAGCCAAACAAACCTGCCACGCCCCGTTCGCCATCAGGATTCCGGCGAACGGCAGATCTAGAGACACCGCGCCGCTCAACACCAAGGATATCTTCGGCACAGTCACCGTTGTGTAGTTACTCAGGTCGTAGCAGGTGTCCAGTATGGACACCCCCGGCGCCGTCGGGTACTTGCCCATCCCCTGTTGGAATGCGGATCTGAGAGCGGAGTACGCCGCCTGTGGGAGTCGGGTTATGACAGTGCCGGAATCGATGATCATCCCGGCGGTCTGGAAAACCACCGGGCTAATCGGTAGTTGCTTTCCGCCCACAATGATCGATTGGACTTCAATGAAATAAAACGCGTTGCCCTTTGCGAACGGCGTGAATCTGACGCTTCCTGAAGCACCGCCACCGCTCCTCCCGAAAGTCAGGTGACCCTCAGATCCGCTTTTCGTGGCGAGGCAGTAGGAGAAGTAACTGCCGTACCTTCCCGCGGTTTGGGAGACGACCGAGAGCGCGTCGCGGCCGAGGCCGAGAAGTCCTGCGGTGCTGCGGAAAAGCCCCTGGTTGTTCTGCCCGCACCCGAACAGGAAGTTTTCTACGATGTCTGACGGCGTCAAGCTCAACCGATCCCTCACGAAGAAGCCGACGGAGAACGACGAGTCGCCGTACTCTATCCCATAAACGCACGTCGACGACGCGCAATCGGGTTCATTTCCGGTTGCCGCTTTCAGGCCGGAGCAAGCCGCGGATGAACATGACACGTTGGAATACGTGCCGGAGAATTTGGGATCGAAAATCCGGTCCTTCTGGGAGTAGCAGCTTTTGGCGCAGGGGAGGCATTGAGTCCAGGTGAGGTCAGATCCGGTGTCGAAGACGAGGGAGAGGCTCTTCTTAGGGGTGCCGATGCCGACGGAGACGATGTAGTTGCCGCTGCCGAGGGCGGTGCCGCGTGCGGCGGGGACATTGGCCTTCGAGTCGGCGACTGGGTCGCTGCGTTTCTTCTTCAACGAGTCGCGGAGGGGATTGGTCTTGTCTGAGTTGACTCGAGCGTGAATTGAGTGGACCCGCAACTCGTCCTGGGTGAGAATCTGGGTCAGAGTCGAGCGGCCTGGTCAAGTGGTGAGCAGGGCCCATGCATGTGAACAACCTTCAACGATGCGGCTCTTCCTCCTCTCAAGCCTTTATTAGCATTGGGTGAAGGTGGGCGGCACGTGGTGGGTGGGAGGAGAGACGTGAGCGGAGCAGTGCGGAAGTTAGCAGTCGCCGCCGCAGACTGGCTGAGTGCGCCCCCGTCTCTGGAGGCTGCCCCTTCCGAGGAGCGAGCAAGGAATAATAGTAAGAGTGGAAAGCAAGAAGAAGAGGTGATGAAGAAAAGGCTGAAGAGATGATAGTTACAGAGTGCTACTGTTGCCGCCGGCGACATTATTGTTGCAAATTACAGTAATTAATCGATAAAGTGGATTAATCACAAGTCTAACTGATTACGGTAAGAGCATCTCCAACCATATCATTTTAACTTGCTAAAAGTTATAATATAACTAGTTAAACACTTTTGCTCTTGTCCAAAGGGCATGCTTTATTTTAGCAAGTTTGCCAAAAAATGAATTTGGTTTGCTAAATATGACAAGTCTCTCAAAATTTAGCTAGTCAATACTTAAAAAATGAAATAACAAATAATGGTTGGAGAATGAAGCAAAAAAGTGCTTGTTATATCACTATTCACTTGCTATAATGTAAAAATAGCAAATTCATATAACAAGCATGGTTGGAGATACTCTAAGAGCTTAGCCGTGCGAAATATTATGAAGTGGATTAATCACAAGTCTAACTGATTACAGTAATTAAATCGTCAGAATACCCGTGATCTCTTAGTCAACGTGATCAATATTATTATTCTAATATTTCAACATGGTATCGGAGCCACCGCTCTTGGTGACCTAAAAGAATTCTTTGCTTCCACCGCCGCCGCCAGTAATTCCGGTGACGACGGCACCACTATATTCACTTCTATTTTCTTTTCCTTCCTTTATCTTCAAATTAACTTCTTCATTCCAAAAAAAGGAAAAAAAAATCTCGTGTTGAAATCACAAAAAACCATCAAAGAAGGAACTTCTGTCTTGTCCTCTCCATGGTTTTCCAAAAAAAAACTAACTCCTCACAAATTCTCTTGAATCTTCTCAAAATCATGGAAAAAAATGATATTTGTTTCTCTATAATTCACTATCGAAGATTCTCAGACCTAGTTCTTTTCTTCATCAACAATTTTTAATCCCCTCTTTCTCTCTCAAATCACCCATTCTAAACATCAATTTTTCTTCTCTTTCTCGTTAACCAATAAAATTCCAAAAAAATAACACAAAAGTAAATCTAAGAGGGGAAGTAGTGAAAGAGGAAAGAATACCTCTACACCCCACCCCTTCAAGAAAGAAATAGGGCATTGCCCGGATCCAAGAAAAAGACAAAGAATGTCAAAGATCTTCAGCCAAACCGGCGCCTCCAGTAGTCTTCTCTGTTCTTCTTCGACGTCAGCAGCTACAAATGCATGTCAACCTTCTCTCTTCTTCTTCGACATCAGCAGCTGCCAGCGCACGTCAATTTCTCTCTTCTTCAACGATGTCTACCGCTACCAGTGCTTGTCAGACTTATATCTTCTCCAACAACGTCAGCAGCCACCGGCGCACGTCAGACTTCTCTTTTCTCCAACGACGTCAGCAGCCACCGGCGCACGTCAGACTTCTCTCTTCTCAAAGTTTCCAGAGTCTAGCTAGTCTCCGAGCTTTCTCTTGCTTCAACCAGAGTTCAGCTTGTAGGGGATGTTAGGCAATAATAATAATAATAGTTCTGGTAGTATTGGTTATGGTAGTATTTGATTATTTGTCAGCTTTCTATTTCTAATTATGGTAAATGCTGTATTTTAGTTGGTTTTCATTCTCTATTCCTAGCTGTGTTAGAAGTCTCTTCTATATATACTCTATCATATACTTCATAATTCAATAAACAATATTATTATTCCAATATTAATCACAAGTCTAACTGATTACGGTAAGCAAAGAATTCTTTTAGTGCTGGTATGATCGTTGGAGAAGAGAGAATTCTGACGTGCACATGGTATCGGAGCCTCGTTGACTAAGAGATCACGGGTTCGAAACTCACCGCCACCCAGTTTAAAAAAATTAAGGTTTCACGTGCAAGGCTCGAAAAAGACTACGCCTGCACGTGAGAGGCGTGTTAGAATATAAATAATTGTTCCTGGACCACAACCACAAGTTTGAACTTTTGGTTGAGTTGGTTCCTTGACATTAAGTTTGCTTCAAAAAAAAAAAAGTAATTTTTTACGATTTCATTGGAAGGTTTATTACCAGTAACATCCGCACCGTTCATTTCTTAGAGATTCCGTAGTGGACTTCATTTCCTTTCCTTTTTTGTAATGGTCTATTTGACTCAAAAATCATTTGTTATATTTTTCCTTTCATTTATTTTGTTCTTAATTTATGTAATGCACCTGTGTACGTTTCCTTTATTTCAATATGGCTTTTTAAATTAATTGTCTTTTTTTGTGCAATAATTGGTTATAATATAGAAAAGGAAAAAAAATTAAAACCAAAAATTTTAAAATAGCGAACAAAATTTAATTACGAAAAAATAATTTATAAAATTAATTACAAAAAAATAATTACGAAAAAACAAGAACACTTAATATTATTATTTTATATAAGTTATAATTTAATTTGAATACAAATAGTAATTATTTATCAAAAATAATAGTGTAATCATTGCGCTTGTGATAAGGCATTACAGTTGTGAAGTGAGTAGTGAGATCGTAAGTGCAATCAATGCTGGTGTGGCACTGAGTGACTGCTGATTTGGGTTGAGCAGTGGTGAGGCATTCTAGATAGCCTTATCGTGCCCCCAATCCTACCCCTCTAAGCTTTATAACCTTCAATCAATCATGTTTTTTTCTTAATTTAATTAAAAAATATATTAAAGAATCATGTAAAATAGGACCGAGGGGGAGGGTGGGGGAATCTTTAACTTCCAATTTTTTCTTTTTTCTTAAAGTTTTTTTTTCCAATTTTTAGTTTTCTTCAATTTCTTCTAGTTTCTTCCCATTTTTTTCTATTTTTTTCACTTTCCCAACTATTCTCATTTTCTTCGATCGTTTTCCTACCAAAAATTGAATCTAAAAATAATATGTATTTCATGCATTAATATATTACTATTATTATTCTTATTATTATAGTTTAAAATTATTTTAATTTTTCTATTTTTATTTTTCTCATGTCACTATTTTTTGATTCACACTCATTATTTTTTCTTCCATTTTGAATGTAGATTATACGCAGTACAATTTTATTAGAAAATTGTTTTTTTAAATTTTACATAATATGAAACTCTATATGTTCCAAAATTTATATATTTTTTATTAATCTAAATTCACCTAGTAAAAACATTAATATTGTAAATTAAAAAATAATAATTGTACTACTTTGTATCTCTAACTAATAAATGACATGTACACTATTTATGTTGTCAAATTTATTCAATTTTTACCTATTATGAATATAATAATAACAACAATAATAACAATATAATAATAATAATAACAACAACAAGAAGAAGAAAAAGAATTGTAACACCGTAATCCATCCAGGTCTGTAGGCCTTTACGGACTAAAGTATAAACTTGGTAATTGTAAAATTTAAAACATTTCAAACACTTTTATTCACCATTAAATAATATTAAAAACAGAAAAGTACAGAGTTTTCAATGTTGCGGACCTTTAATTAACAAATCACAATTACAAAACATAATTAATTTATGTCTTTTGAAATAACAATTCAAAATCATCACATTCATCTCAATAATTTCACCTCCGTCTGCCGTCAGGATCATGTCACATCATTCATTTTATTTACCTGCGTGTAGCAAATAAATTATACTACACGATCAGCGGTGAAGCTGAGTAAGGATATCTAATGCATCGAGCATCCATATAAACTGAATCTCAATTCATAATTAAATCATTTGATATCATGCACATAATATTCATTTCAAGGATTCAGTATTCAATATTTATTGTGTCAACAGTGCTCTTAAACTATTTTTAGACTAAGGCCAAATTCATATTAATAACAAAGCTCTTAAACTATTCTTAGTCTAAGACACACATTTCTAACCAACTCTTAAACAATAATTAGTTCAAGGTACATAATTCTTAACCAACTCTTAGACTATAATTAGCTTAAGGTACATATTTCTTAACCAACTCTTAAACAATAATTAGCTTAAAGTACATATTTCTAAAAAACTCTTAAACTATAAATAGTTTAAGGTACAACAAAAGAATAATCGAACAGCGGACTGCTCACTGTCGAATGAGTGGTATCCCCAAACGAGTGATCCTCTAGTTTGGTTTATGGATTCTGTACGTACGTTTTTGCCTAGGCCACCAGATTTCCTACCTACGAGGCCCAATTTAACTAAGTCACATGGGGTCTATCTTAGAGTTCTTCTAAATACCTTTAACAATATACATCATTTTGATAATCATTATATACTCATTTTTAATCATGGCTCAACCATTCATAATTATCATTTTAATCAGGTTATTCACCAAGGTTGAATCATCATAATAAACAATCAATAATAATAATCATAATATTTAATACGGAGTAACAAATAGCGACCTAACGTCGAGCTGAGTGTTAACACTCTAGCTTACCGCCATGCATCACACAAGAGTCTTGAATTAGTTAAAACAACATTTTTATTTCTAAAAATCATTTTTATATTGATCATTATTAAATGGTATCAAAAATAGAATTATTTTACCTTCAAAACAGATTTTTCGTCATGGAAATTGTTTGTAGCAGTCGACCGTTACCGTCGAACGGTCAACCGTTTCCGCTACTTAAGAAATTGGGTACGAAATAGTACAACCTCTACCGTTTCGATGGTAGCTGGTTACTGGACGGTTAACCGTGGCGGGACGGTCGACCGTGCAAACGGTACCTAGCTACCGTGCCGGTTGGTAGCTTATTACCTGTTACTGTTCATCGTCTTTATCCTCTGGTCCATTTTTGAAAACAACATTTTTAGTCACCAAACTTCAATTAAACTATATTTAAATGTTCTACAAGGTTCGTATATCATTTTGGTATCAATAATTTGAAGTTTTAACAACAAATTCAAGGTTTGTGATTCTTGGTTTTTCAAGCATGTCAAACACAAAACTCAACCAAATGATCGTTATTTTTGAACGTAGGAACGATCTATACGAACATTCTAATCACTAGATATATCTATGGGCTAACGTTAGCCTTAAATGGAGGTTTTGGGAAAATTCCAGCAAAACTTCTAGGGAGGATTGCTAACAATTCTAGCGACCTCACTCCCAAAGGACAACACCACTGCACTTCTCTCTCAACAAGAAACACTCATGAAGAAAAATTAGGAAGAATGATGAAGATTTGAGAGTAGAGAGTGTTCTTATAAACACTATAAAAAAGAGGACAGTACCGACAGATCCTTAGGGATAGAAACTTTATTTGTCACTAAAAAAAGAATATTACCGACAGATAAAGTTATTTGAATGAAAAAACTATTCGACCCACAGAAAGAGTAATATCTGTCGCTATTGGTTATAGTTTTAGCAACAAACTTTTATCTGTCGGTATTGCTTATAAGTTTAGCAACAAAACTTTATCTGTCAGTATTGTTTATAGTAGTATCAACAAAAAATTATCTGTCGGTATCGTTTATAGTATTAGCAACAAAAATTTATCTGCAGGTATTGTTTATAGTTTTTAGCAACAACGTTTTATCTGTCGTTATTGATTTTATTGACATTTAGTTTAAATATCTTAATGATAAAAAACCATAAAAATAGGCATCATTTAGTACACGAAATTGAGGTCATGAAATTGGGAATGAAAGACCTCAATTTGAATTCTTTTGTTTGGTCGCACAAAAATATATGATATAAAAAATGAATTATAAATTTAAAAGATAAAAAACTAAAAATCAAAGATTAAAAATATTTTTTTTAGTTTGAATATTTAAAAATTAAAAATTATAATTTTTAATTTCAGATTTTTAATTTATAAGTTAAAATTAAAGGACTAAACTGACCGAATAAAATCAAGCCATATGATAAAAGAACAAAGTATTAACAAATTAAAAGCAAGATGGATGAAAATGCTAGTGGAGCCCTGTAATATATCGAAAAAAATATAGTTTGATGATATTAATAGTAAGAGTAAATTCCCAAAATAGTCCTTTGTAATAAGGTGTTTTTTCAATTCAGCCTTCAATAAGTTTTTATAACCTACATGGTCCTCTATAATTACTTCTCATTTGAGTAACATTATTTACAAAAAACCAACTTGGAAATAAATCTCAATTATAGAGGACCACGTAGGTAATTAAAATTTATTAAGGACTGATTTGGGAAAACACTTAATTGCAAAGGACTATTTTGGGAATTTATTCTAATAGTAAACTATATTCTAGTCTCATGACCTTAGACCTTATCCAATCCTTAATCATTGTTTCATAAAAAGTGTACCCAATTTGACTTCAGTACTAATTTAGTTTTACTCTTTTTGTTAAAAAAAACTCTTTTCCATTAAATTTATACTCCATCTGGTCTTTAAAACCTTTCTTCTTTGAAAAAAGCGTGTCTTAAGAATGTAAAAATGATGAAAGTGTGTCGTATACTCCATCTGGTCTTTATAATCTCTTCTCTTTTTATTTCAAGAGTTAGTTAGAAGAAGAAGAAGAAAGAATGGGTGNATTATAATTTGACTCCAAATGACCTGAAGGTGACTTAGAAATCTATTGGACCACCGATGAAAGAATGTTGAAAATTCGTGTACTTTTGTGATAGAAATTAACGTTTATATACCGAAGTGAAATAATGATGAAAGTTCGTATACCATTGGTGAAATTACCCACACGATTTGACTTAAATCTACTCAGCACTAATTTAGTTTTACTCTTTTTGTTAAAAAAAACTCTTCTCCATTAAATTTATACTCCATATGGTCTTTAAAACCTTTCTTCTTTGAAAAAAAGGTGTCTTAAAAATGTAAAATTTTAGGGTTATTTTTTTATTTCTACTCTTACTTAATAATATGGTAGAATTTCATAGGTAGGATAGATAAGTCATAACTAGAAAATAAAAACAAAATTACATATTTTTAAGGCATGTCTTTTTCAAAGAATTTGCTCATATGTAACTTCATAATGGACCTTAAATCCACCGTAGAATTTGTCTATTTGTAGCGGTTAGTAGCACATTGTAAGTAAACACTTTGAATCTTTGTCTCTCCTTTGCGTTCGTACTTTCTCGCACAGCCGTAACACATTTGTCCTAACCTTGTTGCTTTTTAAAATTATTTCCATGTAATGTAGGTTGTATATTACACATTTACAATCGAGCTCTACAATTTGTTGTTGTTGTTGTTTGTTCTTATAAATAATGAATACCACTCCCGTGTTTTAATCTGGGTTGGGGTTATAAAAAAATTGAGTTGGGATTTTTTTAAAACAATCTCATTGAAATCGGGATTAAACCCTGCGTACACACTCACAAACTCCATTTCATGGAATTTTTCTAGGCGCCTTCGGATGGGGTTCATTTAATTTAATTGGTTTAATTTATTCTTGTGATTCATCATCATAAACGATGAGCCTCTTCGGGAATAACGTTAGAAATTACCGTTAAATTTTTATCCAAAGTATTATCGCTAATTTATAACTTTATTCCCAAATAGGCTCTATCTAATACTCCATACACAACTTTTCAGTGCTCGAAAGAATAGGGAGATAGTTTCTAAAAGGACTTCTAGAGTTCCACCAAATTGTGACTTCTAATGTGGAAAGTGAAAATGTTTATAAATATCAAGACATATATTGTGTGATTGAATGAACACGTATAAAAATAATTAAGCACAAAAAAAGTTTTAAAATGGTACTACCTCAATCCTAGTTTCCATTTTGATTTTTTCGAGTTAAAGTGGACAAACTTTAGAACTCAAGTAAATAATTGTAATGTATATTAGTATACAAATGATTTATTGGATTTATTTTGTAGCGAATTTTCAAAATTTGATTTCAATTATTAATACGCGATACAAATTGAAAATAATTGATAATTAAATTAATTTGACTCAAAAAACTCAAACTGAACTAATATATTACTCCCTCCGTCCCTAAATAAACTTCCCCTTTCGTTTTTTCTTTGTCCCCAAATAAACTTCTCTTTTTTTTAAAAAACCTCTTTTACCTCTTACTTTTTTATACCCTACCTATCACATCATATCTTGTTACTAATAATCTACATATCACATCTTACTTTTACACATCACATCAAGGATATTTTTGGAAAGTCAATCACTCCCTTAAATTCCCAAAAAGTCAAAAAAGGAAGTTTATTTAGGGACGGAGGAGTATAACTAAGTACTCCAAATTTGAAATATGTAACATAATTGAAATCCATATATTGTCTAATGCATCAACTAACCAGTACAAAATGACGATTTTTGGAATGCTTATCCCAATAATTGAAACAACCGAGTATTTTTGAAGGAAAATGCTAAAAAACCCCACCCTTGCTACCACCCATGCCCCCCTACATAAACATGTGGTAGGGAGGCAAGAAAATTAAAATTAGAGGGTGGGTGGAGAATAGGTAGAGATAAATATGTGGTGGAGAAATGAGTGGAGGCAAGATTGGTAGCAAGGGTGGGGGGTGTGTAGCATGGTCCATTTTTGAAATAGCCCATCATTATTGACGGATCAAACAAGAAAAGTATTTTTGGCACAAGGTGGAAAAAATCTTCAATTCCAACTTGTGAATTCTTAAATCTGGTTATTTATTTGATGGAACTTGAAACTTTTTTAACTTTTTTTTTGCAAGGTGAAACTTTTTAACTTGATTGACACATTTTCTGAACATTCAAATATGACTATTATGTGCCAAAATAAGTTTTCAAATTTGTTTTTTTGTGGGGGTGGGAGTAGATGGAAGCAATAATTTGTTTTTTTTGTCTTATCTATTTCTAGACTCGAAACTGCTAGTAATATGCACACGGACGACTTGTCCAAAACCTATACTCCATATTTAGTATTTTAGATGGTAAAATATCCAAGTTGGGGGGGGGGGTGTTCATGTTTCATACAGCACAAAATGTAGCTAAAGGATCATATGATTGATAGGGTTGTTTACTGATGAGAGGTGGTGAGAGTTTAGGCAAGCCTGGGTGACCCAAGCAAGTGGGTTTTGGTGGTTCGGAAGGATCGCTCAAAAGGGTCAGCTTCAGCTGTTGATGCTGCTGCTTCTTCTTCGCTCACCGGTACAGACTTCTTTGAAACCAGTGCCATTAGCCACTCCACTATCTCACACATTTCCGGCCTCCTCTCCTTCTCAGGCTGCTTGCCAATTTTTAGAATTCCAAAATCGTCATACTCGTTACAATCATCGAATCATACAGTCAGATTTTGAAATGGGAAAAAAAGGGATCAATTGGTGATATGTACGTACCTGAAGGCAGAGGGAGATGGTGTGAGCAATTCGCGATAGAGTGAGGGAGGATACTTTCCTTGAAATGGATGGATCAACCAGCTCTGCTAGAGAGTCATTTTCGTCACGAAGCCTGCTCGAAGCCCATTCCACCAGATGTTGCTCATCCCTTGGCCTTGAGCTGAGTCATCAAAGACGTGCAGATCAGATCATTGGAATAGCATTGTCAAAAGTTATCATTCATTTTAGATCAAAAGTTTTCATTCATTTTAGATCAAAAGTTATCATTAATTATTGGCTTCATTTAGTTTTAAACCTGTCCAACGGCCTCCTTCCTGTGAGAAGCTCAAGAAGTAAGACGCCAAAAGTGTACACATCTGCCTTCGTGTTCCCAATTCCCCCTTGTATATGTTCGGGTGGGACATAGCCACTCTCAGATATTGCCATCTCAGAAGCCTGCTTGGGTTTGGTTAAATATATGGAAATGGGTTATTAGTTAGTTGTAAGCAAAGTCATATCACCCACATTAGTTGGAGTATATACCTTAAGTTTAACACTGTTGGTTGTCAGGGTTCTCAAGTTTGCAAGCCCACAGTCAGAAACCCTAGGGGTACGATCCTCATCCAGTAAGACATTGGCAGCCTTCAGGTTGCTATGTGCAATAGGAGGCACACAGGAAGAATGCAAGTAACTGAAAGGAAAACATGAAATGAAGTAAAGGACTGTTATATATAGGTTCTGTGTGGTCCACCTTGAGGCAACTAGTGATTAGTGAAAGAGGTTGGGCACCACTTACTTCAAAGCACGAGCAGTACCAAGTGCAATACGGAGTCTAAGTTTCCAAGACAGAGATTTTAATCCAGTACTATGAAGGGCATCCTGAAGAGAATGACTCCTTATGTACTCATACACAAGGAAGTACTGGCCGTACTCCACACAGTAGCCGGAAAGTGCTACAATGTTGGAGTGCCTCAATCGCGATGCTGTCCTAATCACATCCAAAAATATCTCTTCTTCTTGGAGAGATAGTGCTACCATGTTGATTGTCTTCACAGCAAATATCTGTCCATCAGGGAACTCTGCTCTGTAAACGGACCCAAGGGATCCCTCTCCAAGAAGATTTTGCTGACTGAAGTTGTTTGTTGCAGATTGAAGCTCGGTTATCGTGTAGACTTTCGCGCATATTGGGCCTTTGAACTTGTTGGCAGAACTCCTTTTGGACATCCTCATGGTTCTCGTCGGAATGGGCGGTAATTGCCATGGAGAAATCAGCAGTGGGGAGCTCATTTGTGATGAATATTGACTGTCTTCTTTAACAGTAGAAGAGAAGTCTGGGGTTTGAACAAAGACAAGAATTTAAGGATATAGGAAAAACGAACATATAAAATGGAGTTTGAATTATATACTCCAATTACCTTTGGCTGTACTGGTAGGAAGAGAATGGATAGAATTTTCAGTGCATTCTGAACCTATGTACATTGGCTTCCGAGATCTATGAGCCCAAACAACAATGAAGAGTGTAGCAAATATCGCCACAAGAGCAGCTCCAATAACCACAGCTACTATTGTCCAGGTGTGTGCCCTTTTTCTTTTGTGCCCTTCTTCAGTATGTGAAGGATTGTTTTTCTCAATGGCACTGGACTGCATAGTTGGTGGACTACTGATGTTCTGATTGGGCACACCCTCCAGAGGGAAATTCCAAGGTAAATCGTTTTCTCCAGTGTGAAAACTATTGCCCCAAAACCTGATTACAGATTGCGGTTAAAAAACGTGTAAGGGGTGAAGGACACTGCTGCAATGGAGAAAAAGAGGGTGGAGTGTGATGCCGATAATTTACCATAAGTTTTTTATCTGTTGAAAGTTTTCTGGAATTACACCACTGAAGTGATTGTCTTCAATATTCCTGGAAATTGAAACAAGTGAGAATGGAAACAAAGCGTGAATTCTGATCTGAATACCTTCAGAGTCAATGCAGAGAAACACACAGGTCATTAAGTGAGAGCCCGGCCAAATGAATGACTGATCCAGTGAATGAATTACTCTGCAAAAATCTACAACTCATCGCAGTTATTTAGTTATTGAACTGAAGAAAATCTTGGATAATAATGATCAAAGAGAAGGGGGAAAACTTACAAGCTTTTTAGGCTTTTCATTGCTTCAAATGAACTTGGCAGATCACCGGTAAGGTTATTGTATGATAAATCCCTGAGATTTAACATTGAATCCAGAATTAGAACTCTGATATTGTACATCTAGATTAGCTTTGAAATATCTAATGATCAGAACTTAAGTGTTCAGTATTAGATAAAAAACTAAATCATAAAGAACTGATAAATCCCATACATCTGCTTCAGATTCACCAAGCCACCGAAGAAATCTCCTAAAGGTCCAGATAACAAGTTGTTGCTCAGGTTCCTGTGATAAAAATACTAAGTAAATGTTGTATTCGCGAGTTACATAGTTGAACAAACAACCAGTGTGTCTGCTTACAGCTGTGTGAGATGGTTCATACTAGTCAAAGAATATGGAAATGGAATGCTATTCCTGAAGTTGTTGCATGCTAAATTCCTGCACTTATACAAAGATTTGTTAAACCAGGCACGTTAGTTGAGCAACCATCTACGTAGTATATACAAATTTACTAGCAAAACGTGACAAAGAGTGTTCAAGACTTGTGGTTTTAAGGTAAATCTGAAGCACAGACAAGAACATTAATTACTTACAAGTGAGTCAGATTATGAGGCAAGTCATATGGGATTTCGCCTTGAATGTTATTAAAGCTAAGGTCCCTAAAGTAGAATAAATTTCCACAATTAACAAACATTGGGTCTCTTATTTTAAGCATTAAAAATTTGAAATGCTGTATTAACTTACAGATGTCTCAAGTTTTGAAGATTGGAAAGCTGGAATCCTAATGTACCAGTGAGGTTTAAACTTTGAAGTTTGCTGTCATATTTGGGAAAGAAGAGTAAGTGACCAAAAGCTAAGTCCACAGTTATCAATGAGGATGAATTACAATGCAATGCATACATTTGAATCACTGAAGACCCAGAGCATCCTACTCCTATCCATGATTCCTCGCATGGGTCCCCGCCCTCAACACTCCAGTTTTTCAGTTGTGGTGGGATGTTCAAGGCTTTGTACATCTCTCCCAGAGTTTGAACTGCCAAACAAGAAGAGAAAACAGTCAGATAAAGGTGAAGTACACACTGAAGCAGAACCATTTGAACAATTCCACAAATTCCATTTCAATAACTTTATGCAGTAAAATAAACAATTCCACAAATCTTCAGTCGGCAATTCAAAATATATTATCGTAGGCACGGAATTCTGGAATATCTGTACAAAAAATACGAATCAAACATCAGGTACCTTCAAGGTCATTAGTGTATGACCAAGCCTGGAAAGACAGAATCGACATGAAGATATACACAGTGACGCAGAACCATTTGAACTGTGTAGCCATTGTGATTAAGAATCAGAAACACTAGATTTCACCTGAACAAAAACAACTCTTCTATTATTCTACTAACAATCTAAATCGCAAAATAATAACAATAAAAAGGAATAACATTCATCGGAAAGGCATTCCACTGAAACTAACTCTTCGATTACAGAAACAATCCAAACCGCACAGCGACAGGAGCTACGAACGAACTGTGTAAGAATGAAAACCGAGCAAATGATCAGAATCCGGAACTCAATCGGCATCCAAAACTCCAAATTAAGCTCCGATCGAACAAAAAGAGATATCTACAAACAGCTCGTGCACATAAGTACATTAATGGAAGAATGAAAGAAATGACAGGCGATAATTCATGTACACAATACGCCGCTTAGAAGTTGAAGATCCAAATTAATACGATCGCGCGAATGAGGAAGTTGTAGCAAATCCATGAACACAGATAAATTGAGATTCAGGGTTTTACTTTACCTGACAGTGGCCAGAGGAAGAGAGAAAACGACGGAGACGAGGACTTGAGTAGAGAGAGAAGAGGGGGAGAAGACGGTTAGTTAGGCCGTTATAATACAGACACGTGTTTTTCCCCCCCTTTTTTTTACGGAGTAATTTGTTTTTGGCCGCTATAACTTATCAAACTGAGTTTAGAGGATTTCCATGGGAGAGGGTAAAATTGGAGTAAAAGCTACCCCCTAAAAAATAAAAGAGCTTCGGGTAGTTTTAAAAATAGTTTGAATTCCTTTTTTTTAGGTAGAGTACTTGATAGTGATACTCTCATATCAACTTGACATTGGGTGTTGTCAAGTTACATTATTTTTTTAATAGATAATAACTTTTTATGTTATCGTTATGATGTTGGTATAAAGATGTTTAACTTGGTATTGTCTTTTGACAAATTATAATACTTTTGGAATTTATTTACTTCCTTACATTAGTTGACGCTATATAACAATTTTTTACGGTAGCAAACTAGGATGACAATTATGGCAGTTTGCGACAGTGACCACGGCGACATAGCTGTAAATCGGAATGGTAGTTTTTTTAGGTGTTGTAATTTACTATTCTGTATTTTTTATAATTTCATTATTAGTAAATACATGTGATCTAATTTAAAAAATTTACGGAGTACGAAGTCTCATTTATTGAGCCAATTTTGTTGATTCCCACTACATTTAAGAGGTCTTTTTTGTGTTGGTGGTTATTGGTTTATCGCTGATAAATAATATATAACTTATAAGAGCATCGGCAACGACGTGTAGCCTCCCATGCCTTGCTGCTGCCTTGCTGCCACATCACCATGGAGGAAACATTGCCATGCGTGGATAGAGCATGACACCCTTCTTTGCGAGTCACAAGCGTGGCAATCTTGTTCTCATTTTATTTATTTATTTTTATTTTCTTTTTTTAAGAAAAAAAAGCTGTTAATTTTTTGAGTAAGTAGTAATATTTTTATGATAAATTAAATAAGAATAATAATGTTTAATAATTAAAATATGTCAAAAAGTATAAAAAAGATAATAAGGTTTGACACTCTACTCATTTGGCCCACACGCTGACAAGCCTGTTTTTAATTGCTTAAAATACCTCACGTCAGCGACCTTAGTGTGTGACATTCCACTCATTACTTGTCATTGCCCATGCTTTAAATTGCTTAAAATTTAATTATTTTTTTGTGCGGCAAGGTTCCCATGACATTGTCGGGCAATGTAATTGGATACCCGGGGACGCTCTGGTGCCCTGCTCGTAAAATTGACGGTTCCTATTTTCTCTAACCTCCCCGGTAAACCCCCACCCCATCCTGACCCGAACACACCCCCACCCCTTCAAAGTGTCAACACTAACTTTTAAGAGTGATAGGAAATGGGGCCATTAGGGGTGAGCGTGGTATGATATGGTACGATATTTAGCTCGTACCGATACCGTACCAAATATTTTGGTTCAGTATGGGATTTTACGTTGTTCCGATCCCGAAGCATCGGTTTGGTATGGTTCGGTATCGGTTTCAGTACGAATCGGGATGAATATATACGTGTCTAGTTTACATCATAAATGTAACAAAACCTTTATTTTTGAAAAATCAAAAGTACATTTAACCAAAGAAAGATAAAAAATTTTAAAATGAAATAATAAAATGCAAGAAATGCTTATGAAAGTTAGTTTATATTTCACAAACTAAAGAGAACAAGTGATAACAAAGTATTATTTCAAATATTTGTTAGTATTCTTATACTCATCTACAAAAAATAAAAAACTCTTATTAAAGTGCAACTTAAACATAATGAAATTAAACTAAATTGTCTATATAATTTTTTATTTAATGAAGAAATATAAAAAAGATTATAATTTTTATAATATATTAGTATATATGTTCGGTTTGGGAATTTCGGTATGAGAAGTAACCTCGTATCGTTCCCAAATACCGGACTGACCGTTCGGTTTGGTTTCTTTTCAGTATTTTATCGGTTCAGTATTTTTCAATTCAATATTCTCAATTTTTTCAGAAAATATCAGGATCGATTCGGTCCTTGCTCACCCCTAGGGGCCGTAATATCATCTCATATAATACCAAATTGCTTAAAAGTACTCCCTCTATCCCAATTTAAATTGCATATTTGCTTTTTTTTTCTCCGTCCCAAAATAAGTTGCCTGTTAGTTGTTATCGTAAATTTTTAAAAATAAAATATCTAAACTACCCCTAAAATAAGTCACCATTCTTCACCTCATCTTCTAATTCATAGTCACTCCTTTTAAAAGGTAATGATAATTTCGAAAAATCAATTATTTTTTTCTTTTCCTTAAATATGCCCAAAAGTCAAAACAGACGATTTAAAACAGGAGGGAGGGAGTAAACCGTATGGAAGCCGAACCCGAACTGAATACAGGTTCTGAAGGTGTTTGGCAGTGCGCTGCTTTTAATAATTTAGCTTCTGCTTTGAGTGAAGTAATTTTACTCTGTTTGGCATGTCAGTTTCCACTTTTAACCATGTACATAAAATACCGTGGAGAAAGCAAATATGAGGAGCTTTTGATTTCAGGGCAGGAATTAATCACCCCAAACACTTCAATACGTCAATTGAATCCGAATTGAATACAGGTCCTAGGCAATAAGAGCCGCCGGTGTGCCCTTTCCTCTTCAGGTCCTCTTCCAGCTTGAAGCGCTGCAATGGCGGAAGGAGAAGAAGAAGATTACATGAGAGATCTTTTTCAGTTTCTTCCTCCAGAAGCCTCTCTACCATCTGAAAAGGTCAGCGCCTCGCAAACTCTTCTCCGTTTACTGCATAATTATATAAAATAAATGCATCGTGTATCTTTATGCTTCTGGATTTTTCTTTTGGGAAAATCGACACTAAAACGAATTATGTTCCCAACGTGATGAATTTATTCCCTCCCGGAGTTGAGAGCCATAGGAGAGAAGAGGAGAGGAGAGAATGTTTTGGCTAGCCAGAAAGGCGCAGAATTTGGACCAGGGTTTTGATTAACCAGGTGGAAGTCATACTTTCATATCCTTCTAAATGTTGAAGGGGAAGGTCTATTACTAGGTGAGCTCGGGCAGTCTTAGACTCATCAAGATTCTAGGTACTGTCGATGCATTATATAGGCATAAATGGTAAAAACCATTAACAAGAAAATGAGACCCCGACGGAGTTTTAGGATATTGTGTGCAAGGATGGGTTGGTGTGGATCACCAAGCTTTGGGGCCAAAGGAGATCCCGATGGATTTTTAGGGTATTGTGCGCAATGATGGGTTAGTGTGGATCGCCAAGTTTTTGGGGCCAAATGAGATCCCGATGGATTTTTAGGGCATTGTGCGCAGAGATGGGTTGGTTTGGCCGTTTGGATCACCAAGCTTTGGGACCAAATGAATTCCTGATGGAGTTTTAGGATATTGTGCGCAAAGATGGGTTGGTATGGATCACCAAGTTTAAATTTTTTTGCAATATGGCTAAGATGCTTAGAGAGTGGAATAAGAGTAAGGTGATCCACTATGAAGGTATGGTGGATCACTAAGGTGTCAAATTACTTAGTCACACCATGAAGGTGTCAAATTACTTAGTCACAAAATATTTTATGCTTGTTGTTGTTGTTGTGAAGTTGATTTTGCAATTGGCACCTAATTCTTTTGCTGTCATATACCTAAAACATAAAATTCCTAGAAAATGAGATAAGAACACACTATTGTGTATATTTTCATGATACAGAAACTCACAGCATGGAATGGATGCTGTGATTTCTGAATTGTTCAAAATAAAACTGCATTGCTTTGAGAATTAAGCTCTACCTATAATTCAAGGCTAGTCCAGCTTTGTGGAAATCCTCCATAAAAATGAGTTTATATCATTACATGGATTTAAAGACTCTCTGCTCTTTTGATTTTAGGAAATTTGTATCTAATCGTACCATGCCTCCCCAATCTCCAGGTTTCTAGCAGTAAGACCACCGTAGTTTCAAAATCTTTAAACAAGCGTAAACCCCTAAGTTGGCAAGAACAGAAAAAACTCAAACGACAACAAAAGCAAATTGAAGAGGATCGACAAACTCTTGCCAGCTTAGAATCGGCAATTCCGGAATCAAACATTGGGTTCAAGATGTTGAAACAAATGGGGTATGTTCCTGGATCAACATTAGGAAAGGATGGCTCGGGAAGGGCTGAACCAGTGGCATTGGAAATTCGAAGGGGTCGTGCTGGGCTTGGGAAGGAAGATTCCAGATTAGAGAAAGCAAGGAAAGAAAAAGAGAAGTTTGAAAGTGGGCAAAAGAAGGCCGAAGAACTTATGGTAGATTTTGAGCATCGCCAAAAGGAGAGGTGGAAAGGGAGGAGGATTGTTGTCAATTTTCATAAGGCCGAGGCTGTATTAGCTCAGTTGGATAATAGAGAGATCATACAAGAGGATACAGAAGAAAATGAAGGAGAAGGAGAAGAGGAAGAAGAAATCATCACCGAAGAGGTATATTTTTATTCTACTATTCTGTTTTATATTTTCTTTCGAGATAGTATAGGCCTGACCATTACCAGTCAAAAAAACAGCATTTGCCATTAACGCTTCAAAAACAAAATAAAGAAAGGTTGCAAATGCTGCCTCTGTTGACCAACGACCACCACTAAAATGACCTTGATCAATACCAATCACCCGCAGCTGTTTATAACTTACAAAATATGAATTTGGATACTGAGTTTGAGATAACAAGAGCCTGTAAACATGTTACCCGATCTGGTAAACAGAGAACATAGCAGGAAATGTAGATACGAGAAAACAACAAAAGTAGAGAAAGTAAAACTGAAGACTAACGTAAACACCCCTAAATCTTTTCTTTTTATATTCGTTAGACTTAAGCCTGAAGGTTACCAGCATTGTTATTATAACACACAAGTATGTACAGCATATTACATATTTAAAGGCTTCAATTCTGGGTAAACTAATTCAATTTGTGGCTCGTTATTCCTATCCAATACTTGCCTTGTCTGCTTGAGATTGCTATCCGTGGATGGTATAACTTAATTTTTTTAATGCAGGATTTGCTAAAGATATTGATGAAATTGAGAGATGAATACTATTATTGTCTATTCTGTGGATGCCGGGTAAGTTTTATATTAGTAGATGTAGGGTGGGGCAAGGATTAGTTTGCTATTGAAATATTCAATTGTTAATATCCAAGCCAGCCTTTCATTTTCTTCTGAAATGCTTATCTTATTATTGCTGATTTTGATCTTTTGCTAGTATGATTCTTTGGAAGCACTTGAGGACAACTGCCCTGGATTATTCGAAGAAGACCACTAGACGATTTAATCTCTTGGAGGGGAGGCGTGTGTTTCAGGGACAGTTTAGAACTTATATTTAAATCAATTCTGATAGCTCTTTGGTGGTGGAAGGGGTGAGGGCTTCAAAGCTGATCAAGATCCCATCATCTGTGTAACTATCTATAAATACTCAGCTCATTTTGTACAAAGCAAATGCAGTAGTAAGAACGTACTCCATCTTATTCTTTCACAGAATCCAGATGTGACCAAATTTTTAATTTGTCCAGGTATGTTTTGCATATTTGCATCCTTTGATCTGAGAAATCAATCCTCGATTAGTTCTGTGTAGTCTATGAAGCTACTGACTCTATGAAATCGAAAACACATTGAAGTTTGTACCTTTAGAAAAAGCATACATACAGTTTGTATTCAAATGATCAGCTCATACAATCTCAGATGTACAACAAATGTCAAAATAAACACTGTTTATACAAATCTGTTTACTGTCTTAACTGCTGAAGAAAAAACAAGATAGCAGCTCAACTCATCTTAGCTAGGGTAAGAAGAGCACGGAAAAAAACACCGCACGAAAGCATTTGTAATTTTGTATGCAACACAAAAACACAGAAAGAGGCAACATTCAGAGAGTCCAGTGTAAATTCTGAACAGAAGAGTCGTAACCTGAGTACTCTATTCCCATGTTCCCTCTTCCAGTGTCTCGGCCCCCCATCTCAAGGTCTCCTGAACAGTGACTGCCAGTAGGGATATCGCCAGAGGAGCCGCTAGTGGTTTGTGGGAGCATTAAGGTGAAAAGGGGAGAACTGGCATTGTCTTGATTGCCTTTGAGCTCCCACGGACTTGAAAACCCGTTAATCATTGAAGGATTGGTACTGGATTGATGAACATCATCACGAGCTCCATCAGAGTTAACCCCAAAATCCAAGGGTTGGTTTGACAGAAGAGAGAGAGCGGAAGTAGACTGTGAAAATCCGACTGAACCTTCTCCGCAATGCCAAGCCTGTTGAAGACACTGTCCAGAGGCAACTGTTTGGCCGTCCCATGGGTACGGATATGGAGTGAAGTCCATCAAAAAGCTTCCTCTTTTGCCGTTGATACCTACCATTCAAGGTATAACAAAAATCAAAACCATTTCTTTCTTTCTTTCTTTCATATACGTATGTATGGGTGAATCATATTTTCATCGACTAACTGAAGAATGACGTAGAAAGAGTACCATAACACTGTGAAAATATTGGCGGGAGAGGGGGCTTCCTACGACGCTCATTATGGTCAGCCAGGCGCCTACGGCAGCTCCTTTTTGCTTGATCAAACTCCCCCAATTGATGGAACCTACAAATTTAATGCCTATCATAATGCAAAGTGTCTTCTGTGGAAGTAGGGAAATGTTATATCTCCATGTAGATCACAATTCACATTAGCCATGTCAAACACATATGACAGATTGGCAAAACTGTGTTTTTTTAATTCTTCTCTTTTTGAAAAATGTCAAATAACTAAGACCTGTTTGGATGTGCTTGTGGATAGAGCCAAAAGCATTGAGAAGTATTTTTTTAAAGCACTTGACAGGGTGGAACTTCTTCCAAAAAAGTCATTTTGAGTACCTTTTTTTAAATAGTAATTATATAGTGACACTGAATTCTCTCAGTAGAACTTTTCAAAAAAAATCAAATTTTAAAGAAAATGAGAGTGTAGCTGACCTGCTGCATTGCTGGCAGAATCTCTGCTCAAGCCCAGCAACAATGGCAATGGGAGATTTGGAGTGAACTCCACACACCTTGTGCTTTGAGTAATAAGCCTTAACGCCACTCAGATCCGCCTGGCAGCCTTCCACCTGGCATCTGGGCGGTCGGCCGCCGCCCTGCGCTGCCGCTCCCCTCCCTCTCTTGGCTGGCTGGGGCGGGCGGCCGACTCCGGCGGAAGAAGCAGAACCCACTTCCATTTTGCCACTCCCAGATCTCTCCCCAATCACCAACCACATTTATTTGAGTCAAATCATTGGAATGAATAGAACACTGATATTTCTGAGGATTAATGCTTATAGGAAATGTATATATCTACACATACACACGTATATATATGTCTTGGTGGTGGGGTGGATTCTGGAGTTAAGGGAAAAGAAAGATGAGAGGTGACAAAAGTGGGGGCCATCATCCCAGCTTGGCTTATTGGGTGAGGGGACGAATAATGTTAGTACAATTAACCACTTGAAAGAAATAATGTTCAAGTTTTTTCCTCCAAAAAAAAGAAAAGAACAAGAGGTAAAAGTTTGACCTTAGATTGAACAATAGGGTTGAGATTTATCTAAGTTCAAGGATCTTATGTTAAGTATGATTGTCTTTCATCGTTGTTAACATGAGTCGATCCTGAATATTATGTTCTTTTACACCCTTATTGACCAATTAAGTAATGTCACCGTAATTTTTTTACCACCCGTAAATTTTAATTTTAGAGAGCCTTTCAACCCATATTTCTATCCAAGATTGCTGATTAAACAAAAAGGGTGATTGGCAACCAAATTATTGGAGAGTGTTTTTTTCGTTCAATAAGAAGTTGTGAGGTATATGCAGTGTTTGACTAGTTAAAGTGTTACATTATGGAATTATCATAAGTATTCTCTCCCTTCCCAACTAAATTTTGTAGTTTAATTTTATGGATTTTAAGAAAACTCTTAAAAAGTACTCTCTGCGTGTCCCGAAATTATATTTTTAGTTATTATTCACACGGTCAAATTTTACTCATGTTCTTTGTTTATTTTTTATCATCTGTCATTTGATAGAATAATATAGTCATGTCGTATCTAGTTTTATAGAACTTCTGATTTGATTTGTAACAGTAAATATCTTTTACCCGAGCCTAATTTGACTTTAAATGACCTTGACATTTTGGGGCATTGAGACCTAATATGACCTTGAATTCCAAGTTCAAAAGAACCGTTGTGATTTCTAAATATATAAATTACACATATAATCTAATAAATTGAATTCTTATTTTAAAAAAATTGAATTGTAAATAAAGTTGATCAAGCTTCCTAAACTGAAACTTGGAAGTTAATTTTATGACATGGAAGTATATGATTAGCATTTATTTATGTAAAGAAATATTTTGAATCAGACATTTTTTTTCCTTTACAAAAATTAGAAAAAACGTAAAATTTATTTTGAAGCAAACTAAAAAAGAAAGTGAGTTTTATTTTGGAATGATGCTTAGTTTTTTGGGACAACCTTTTGCATCAAAACAAAAAATAGAAATACTTCATATTATGGAAACAATTTAACTAAATAATTGACACAAAAATGACACGAATATCTACCCAAACAATTTGATCTTGGCATTTTAGATTTTTTCAAATGTTATAACCAACTCCCAGGGTCCCTTTATAGCATGAACAATGTCAAGACATATACTGGAATGCCACACACTGACATGGCACTGTTGAGCCAATCAAAGTCAGTCTAGTCACACAGTGGCATAACATTAGAGTGGTACATCCTGTAATGACATGTCATTATATGGAAATTTGAAATAGAATACAAATTAAAACTAGAGTACAAATTAAAAAAAGAGAAAGCAAAGTAAAGTAGTGGAATAATGCTTTGTTTTTTACGGTGGAAGCAAATCAAAGTAGTAGAAGAAGAGTGCTTTTTTTGCCATTTCTTGCCTCACACTCGCCACGGAAATCAGAGTGACACGCCACATGCCATGCAATCCAATTTTTACTTTGCCCATTGTGCTGCTTTCCTCCCCATGAGTGGCAGTGCGTGGCAAGGTAAGATCTCACCGCTGCCAATGCTCTTAGTATCGGCCTAAATAGGAGATGAGGAGTCAAATGAAGCTATAATCTTAATCTAGTGAGAAAAAGTGAGATCTTTCCCTGTAATTTGCAAAAATCTCATACTTAACATGATCATTTTTTCACAGTTGTCAAGATTCAAACCCGAATTAATCTCCTGTAACACTGTCCTCTCGATCAGTTGATCTATGCCCCAAGCCAAAATTTAGGAAGGTAAACTTTAGATGATAGAAATAATATCCACACATTTCCTTGGGATATCCAACGAAGAAGCACTTAACAGACTTGGCATCGGGCAAGATGTTTGACATAAGCCTCACATCCCCAAGTCATAAAGTGGGACAAACTTGAGCATGAGCCGTCCATAGCTCATATGTCATCCCTCCAACTGCTTTGGTTAGAACTCGGTTAAGAGTATATATTGTTGTTCTTAGTGCATACCTCAAATGAGCCCGGTAAAGTCGCATTACCATTATAGATCGAACTATGCTTAGTAGAGTTTGATTGTTCTTAGTACACACTGTTTCATTGTGGCATGCCAAGAGTGAGTTGGGTAAGATCACATTCTCTAAGCTGCGCTAGTCATCAAACTCATGGATTTAGTATTCACCTTTTTCGATCAAATTGTAGAGTCTTAATACTTTTTCATAGTTTTTTTCTCAACTTCATTCTTGAAACCTTTGAACATCTCGAAAGCTAGCTTCTGGCATAAACACGTAGCCATACCTAACTATTAGGATCATCAGTGAATATGATAAAGTACGAGTATCCACCTCAAGTCGTTTTGTTGAAGGGTCCACACACACCGGTACGTATGAGTGCTTAAAGATCATTGGCTTTTTTTCCACAACCGATGAAAGGACCCTTAGTCATCTTTCCCAACAAACAAGATTCGTACTCCCTCTGTCCCAAAAAAATCTTCCTGTTTCATTTTTTGCGCGTCTCATACAACACTTCTATTCCGCCTCAAATGCAAAAAATACTTTCAAAACAACTTCTAATTACAATAAATGAGAAATGTGGTAAATTTTAGGCATTTTAGATGTGTATAAAAATGTTTTATAGGATGCGCAAAAAATGAAACAGAAAGATCTTTTTGGGACGGAGGGAGTATGTATTATATGATTCTAAATCAAATGATTTCAACATACTAGTTTGGTGAAAGTTTAGATATGCGTTTCTCGTTTATGTTACCTAAATGGCCCAACAATTTGGTTTGGATCTCTTAGTAGAGATGTTATATACGGGCATGCCCAAAATTGTTGGAATTTTTGGCATTTTTAATAGGCATTAAATAGACCAACTTGGGTATATTTGTCAATAGGTCCACTAACGGTTTTAACCGTTAATTAATGGACGTGTGTTCTGCTAAGTGAGATAAATATTTTGACAATTTATACGCCAAAAATGGTAGAGGGTGAATGAGAAATTGATTCTCAAAGTTAACCCGTTAATAAAAGAATATGGTAAGGATTGCAATTTTACTGAACCAATCTTCTTTTATTAATTTTACGTATTGTTTAAAATTAGTTCATTTTTACGGAGTTAACTGGCCATTAATTTCCAATTATTCGGGACAAATTTTAAACGGAGCGTAGCGTAACGGACGTGTTAATGGCTAATTAATCACCATTAACACACCATTAGTATGTCACAAATGCCATGATTAATTCTATGGATTTATGGTGTAGGAGTTACATTTTTTAATTGGCTTGGTTATAAAATCAAAGGCTCTCTCCATTCTCTTGAGTGGTGGTTGTTTCGTACGTGAGGAAGGAAAAAGAAAGGAAAAGTACTTCCTTGTTTCTTTTAGAGAGAGCTCTTGATTTTCCGGCCAACTTTCCGGCAATTCTCTTCAAAGTTTTTTGGTCGCCAATGTTCCTACATTGTTCTTGTTCGTTGGTGTGTGGTTGCTCCGTACAATCTCCACACACGATAGAGGTTTTATCCTGGGAGGAGAGTGCCCACGTTTTTCCGGTACGGTAGGCGGGGACTACTACCTTAAAGACAGCTCCGGCGACTCCGCTGTCCTTCCACGATGTTTTGTTTTTGCAGGTACTGTTCATAAAGACCTCGCTGTATTCTGCCCTAAAACATAATGTCCTTGCTGTCCAGTGCATAATGTCCTTGCAGCCTAGTGCATGACGTCCTTGCTGTCTAGTGCATAATGTCCTCGTTGTCCAGTGTTTAATGTCCTCATACAACGAGGCTTTTTGAGAAGATATAGAAATTTATTTTCTATTCTTTTTATTTTGTAATATTCTGAATAAGTTATAAATTCAGAATTTTTTTTTTTTTTACCGGGGCCGTTCATCTTCCCCGTCCGTTGTAATCCGTACAAAAATTGTAACAAAAATAAGAGCATATAGACCATTAATAACGTTAACATTAACATAGAAAATATTATGTCTATAAATGGAGAAATGTTTGTCCTTTTTGGAACAATAAAATTATTTGTATCGAGACTTAAAATAGAAGTAATAATTTTGCTAATTGTAGATACAAACAAACAATTATCTAATTGTAAAATCAGATCAGATCGTTAGACTAAACTTTGATTGGGCTGTCACTCCAAATCATGTATCTTAGGGGGTGTTTGTTTTTTGGCCAGAGGAACTTCTGACCTCTTTTGTCTGTGCCGCGCAGACGCGCGCAGATGCTGAGCTATGCAGATTATTTGATTTTTGAAAGACATTTCACCCAAAAAGATCTTCCTGACATCTTCTTGGAGAAGACATTAACCTATGTCTTCTAACATCTTCTCCATTTTTTTTCTACTTCTCTTCACCACCACCACCGTCCACCACCATCACCACCATCCACCATCACCGCCACCGTCCACCACTACCACCGTCCACCATCACCATCGTCGTCCACCACCACTGCCACCATCCACCGCCGCCACCACCACTGTCCACCACCACCGCCATCAACGTCCACCACCACCCTCCACCACCAACACAATCGTCCATACACCACCACCGTACACTACCAGCATTAATTTATATAGCAGTCTACAAACATTAAAAAACAAACAGTCTTCTTGTTAGAATATAAGAAACATTTCCTGGGCCACAACCACAAGCTTGACCTTTTGGTTGAGTTGGTTCCTTGACATGGTATCGGAGCCTTGATGACCAAGAGGTCACGAGTTCGAAACTCACCGTCATCCAGTTTAAAAAAATTAAGGTTTCACGTGCAAGGCTCAAAAATAGACTACGCCTGCACG